GGATCATGATGACTGCGAACAAGGTTGGTATCATGCTGATGGAGGATACTCTGCTGGTGAATTGAGTCCTCTGTCTTATAGGGAATCCAGGAAATTTATGTCAAGACGTTGCTCTTCACCTGCCAGGGAGAGGAATATTCAGAGGAGAAGAAAGCATGAGAAGCCCTATTTGAGGGACAGAAACAGTGATAAAGATAATTGGTTTGATGAGTGCGGGCTTGACTTCATAGACAAAAGCTATACCACTTCTATTGAGAGAGAAGTGGAATTATTAGATAGTAAATATGAACATCAGTTTATAGAACGGAAAAGATCTGTCAGAAAGGCAAGACATCATTTCAGGCCTTCATTAGAATTAAACAGCTTATGGTCTGGGAGAATTGAGGATAAATGTCAGGAATACGCTTGTCATCAGACTTCAAATTTGCCCTATTGTAGACAATTTTATCCAGACTCTCAGAAGAACTATGTGTATCAAACAGGAGTAAGTGAATCTATTAGGGGTCATGAGAGACATAGACCCGCTAGGGATGGCAGAGGCAGTGACTGGTATCGTAAAAATATTGATGCTTCAAACGATGGAGATTTTATGATCTATCCTTCAAAAGGATGTGAGTTGGGGAGTAGAAGATACAGTTCCCCATCCGAAGTCCTGGACTGGATTGAGGATGATGTTATTTTAAGGCATCATGATACATTTCATGCTGATGAGGAAGCATTGTCCTATGAGGAAACATCTTGGCATAAAGGGACTCGTGCAAGATATGAATCTCTGCATGATGAGATGGAAATTGATGATATACAATTCCAGCATGATTACTTACATATGCCAAGGAGAGATAGTGACAATTATGTAAAAAGAGGCTATAAGATTACCTGTAGTGATAAGCGTGGGCAAGCAAAGTGCTGGAATACAATTGACTTTGTTAAAGGGGATGGAAAGGTAACCTTGGGGAACCTATGGTTAAGAACCTGTACTGCCATACTTGTACATATGAGCTACTCCACATCTGTTGGGCTATTTAATTTAATTCTTTTTGTTAACTTTATCCCATCCAACCAGGTAAGAAAAGAAGTCCTAAGAAATAAAGAACCCTGTACAAAGCAATATTTACCAGGAAAAAAAGAAAAAAGAGGGGGCATGAGCAAGAAACAACAATAACAATTTTCATTTGCAATGATATATTGCATTTGAAAGAGAAGATGAAGAGTCGAAGGTGGCAGTTGTACTTTGACTATTATGCCTAATGGCCTTAATCGTTTACAAATAGACATTCAATATGCCCCTGAGAAAGCTCTTGTCATCTCTTGAGTTTATCCAGAGTAAAAATAATGCTGGTTTCATATCATGCAATCTTACCGAGTTTTATATATATTTTTCTCTGTAGAGTTTGTTTGACATGCTTTGATACTTTATGTTCATCTTACCTTTATCTTTGGAGGCAAGAAAGAAAAATGGGTGATACTATCTTCTTTCCAGCTTGAATAGTATACGACCACATAATTGTAGTAGTGCATGTTCTACTTGCTAGTTTCATCTTTTAGGCCAACCTACTAAAGAGTTTCATAATGGTACCGTGCCTTTAAAAGTCTGCATTAGTGTTCAAATAGAAGTATGTTGCTAATGAAACTTGTAGTTACAGATTTGTACCAATTTTGGAGCCTTAACATTTTCTAAAGGCGTTGTGGATAAAGGATGGCATCTACTATTATAGCTCCATGAACTATATGTACACTGACCCGTTGCTAGTCCCTAGTTGCCAGCTTTTGCAGTCTGACTATTTTATTTGGTTTTAGTTTTAGCTCTTCAAATGTAATAGTGGGCCCGCAGGTTGATTCTTCCTGTGGATTTGTTTGGAAAGACATTGATCTCATTGATCCGTATTAAATGAATCCTGCTTTACATGATCAGATGATTTGTGTAAAATTTGACAGCCTATTGAATTGTGCAATTTTTCATAATGGAATTGGTCTTTCTGTAGACTGAACAAAGGAAGAAATTGTTTTGTGGTGCATTTATTCATCTCTGTTTATCAATGAATGTGGAGAGAGATGGTTTTGTAGGTTATTATATCTTGTTTTATGTCGAGCTTATGCTCGTGGATTGGACAGTGTGGCAGATCTTTCAATTTTAGTATGTGGTTTCAGCATATTTTTCTGATGTTTTATTATGTTGTGACTTTGATGATTAGTTTCTTCTTATGAGCATTCTTTTGAGTTTTTGTGTTTACTTTTGAGAATCCAACTCTGTAAATTACATCCACCATGCATTCTAGCCGTTGTTTCGCTTGTTATGCAATACATAATGCACATGTATAGCATCAGTGGCCTTAATCTGTTAGATGTGTTGAAATTATTCTTGTGTTTGTTTGATATCCCAAGTATAATAAGTTAAATTTGTGGCGTGCTCATCACTGATTCTGCAGTTTCATGGAAGGAGTTCCCGAACTAGAAGTTTGATGTGCAGTGGGAGGATTGAAAACTTGGGTCAGGGCATTTCCAAGAAGCGGACAACTTCTATGGGTTTATATAAATCCCATAACGAGAAAGCTCCAGAATTTGAGAGTAGCCATAGTGGTAGGAAAAGGCTTCATAGCATTCCAGATAAGGAGCATAAAAGTTTAGAAGCGGAGGAAGGTCAGATGGTGACAGAAGAGCCATGCGTGGTGCCTTCTATGAACAAAAGGGATCTTTCTGAGGGCGAAGCACTGACTGGCTGCGAGAAGAAGAGGATGCCTCCCAATGAAAATAATTCTGAGCTGGACAGCAATATAGGTGGTTTTGATAACCAAAGGCTTCTTGCGACATTAGCTAAGATGGAGAAACGTAGAGAGCGCTTTAAGGAGCCTATTGCATTGAAAAAAGAAGAGAAGAGTATGAAGCCTGATGATAACTTGGTAGTTGGTACAGATGAAACGAAGCACCTGAGGCCACTTCGGAAGCGGCGCTGGGGTGGTAATTGAATTCCTGCAGCAGTTCAAGGGCTTCTTTGTCCTTCAATTTTGACAGATTGGTAGGCAAAATATAATGAGGTGATCCACGATTTTTTGCTCCGAGTTTTATTTTCTTGGCAAAATGCGATTATAAATGATTTGACATTTTTACCACACTTTGGCAAGGAATAAGGTCTCCACGGCCTAGATATCAGGGAGAATTTGTTGAAAGCTCTGTATTGCTAGGATTGTAAATAAATCTGACATTCCTGATATAATCACGCCCATTTCTAAATGGCAGTCATTGCTTTTTTGCTGAAATGCTATCATTTCTTCGTATTTTGTTATTATTTTTCCCTTTTAGGGAAGTCGTCTTTAAAGACGTGCCCAGTACTTCCAACTGGGGCAGCAACTTACTGCAGATTGGAGTTTTGGTAAACCTCACTGGTTTTGGTCTGATGAACTTGTGGATATATCAAATATCAAGACTTTGATTGTTGTGCCTGTGTCTTGGGACCTCGTTTGGTGCTCAAGAGTGATATTCATCATATCTGGGTCATCTAGAACTAATCTGAACAGCTTAGATTTAGAATTTTCAATTAATGATTTTTAGTTTTTTTTAAAAAATTATTTGAAAAAATAAAAAAAATTACATCTAGACCATTCATATAAGATGAGTGTCCAAACTTATTCCCATGTTGTCTTCTTGTTAAAGGCTCATATTCGACTGTTAGCTAACATTAGGTGGGGTGGCGGGAGCTGGGAGCAATTCGAACATATTTTAGATTGGTGATACAAATTCTTTTACATCCATTATTTATGTGTAATATTGAAAGAGATATAAAATAATTTTTTCTTCAAAAAAAAGTGATATAGGTTTAATTTATTCATGCTATTTTGCATGATTTTTCAAAATATATAAATGTAAAAGACCTGATTGATTAAGTGGAGGTATTGAAATGTGCTGGTTAAAAAAAAAAAAAAAAAGTTGAGGCATTGAAATGTTGCCTTGTGGTGGGAGCATTGAAGATGGTCATTGGGCCGGTTCATTCTGATACAAAGCCGACAAAAACTCAAAACAAGAAAGGGGGGGGGGGGATATACGCCCATCTAACATCCATGCTGCTGGGACCTGGGGTGGAGGCCGGGAACGGACGAAGAAGAGAAAAAGGAAAAGAAGATGCCCCCATGCAGGATCGAACTACAGACCTTCAGTTTACAAGACTGACGCTCTACCACTGAGCTATAGGGGCTAGGGCGTTGCCGTAAGCTTCTGTTTTGATTTAAGATTCTTAATGTACCGTTCATTTCTCTCTCATCCACACCAAAATCAAAGAACGAAAGGGTAACCATCAAACTGTTTAAAATAATATTAAAGAATGATTGAGAAACTTAATTGATTCGATTTGATGAATGATGTGCTCGCGCGTGAAAGCTTGTGTCGTGCTTTAATTTCTAATAGGACTTTATCCGATACACGCATGTAATATGATCACTGTTCATTGACACAGTGGACGCTGGCACGCTGCCTTTATATTATTACTATTACATACTACTTTTTGTTGTATTTATAAAAACTAGTTGACTAATTTGAAAAGATTAAAGAACAAAATTAAGTTAGTTATTTGTAATAAATAGGTATTGTCTTTCCTAAAATATCTTTACTAATCATATTGGTTAAAAGTATTATTGTTAGAAGGACTATTTTAAGAAAAAATACATAAATATGAAAGACAAAGTGGATTGTGATCTTATATTTAGGATCAAAATAAAAGTCAAATAATGTCTTATATTTAATGCCAAAATAAAAATTAAACAAGGTCTTGTATTAAGGACCGGAGGTAATATTTGATATTTCTGTCAATGCGGGAAAATTGCATGAGCCAAATCATCGCTAATAATAACGAAAATGGTACTTACGTTTGGTTGAATTAGCAGAGACGACTTCATACATATATAAATATACACACATTAAATACGCATGTATATTATAAGATCAGCCAAATTATTTTTGACTTAGCCATTATATTTCGGTCAACTTAGCAGTAGTTCTGTGGCTGAATATACCTAAAAATCCCTAGGATCAACAAACACATTCCTCACTTGCCCCTTCATCAACAGTTCATCCTCATCCTCATCACTCTGTCGTGAAAGCCTCTTAATATACCAGAGATCATCAACACAAGACATGGAAGCTGTCTGAGGCACGAGCTTTGCGAGAGGATCACCAAACCCTAGCTCAGTTATAACGACTTTACAGTCCTTCATCTTTTCCCCCAACCTCGACGTGAACCTCCACGCACATTCCATGAGCTCTCCGAGGTTGTCTCCTTCCCCATGGAGCCCATACATGAACAGAAACCCAAACGGCCTCGACAGCGAGTCGCTCACAGGGATTCTCAGACAAGGGAAGATCTTGTCTCTTGCATGGTTCAGAGTCGTGTGAATTAAAACCCTAAATGGCTTATACTTTGACCTAACCTGAAGCTTATAGGCTTCACAGGTGTTCCATATGCTAAATACAATCCAAGAAGTTGGAACATTGTTAGTTTCATTGTCGAGTTCCCAATTACCATCGTCTTTGTAGTACGCTACCCAAGTGCCGAGGCTGAGCTTCTCTTTCAAGATAAGGTCCATGTCTGTGAGATATAGGTCTTTGTGTTTTAAGGTTCTGGTGTACAAGGAGATGGCTTGGGTTATGTTGAGCTTCTGTACTTTGACCTGTCTGCTGGTGGCGCCGGCGCCGGAGACGATGTGCCCGCTGGGAGGGAAAGTAGTGGGGTGGACGAAAATGTGGAGAGAAGTGAGATTGAGGTAGTGGCATTTGAGGGAGAATAGGTTGGTGGAGGCAGTGTTGTTCTTCTCTGTGGCAACGAATGAGTACTCTGCTCCATTTCTTAGCATCCATTCTTCAACTGAGTTCACTAGCTTTTGTCCTACCCCTTTTCTTCTTCACAGAAAAGACGATTCATCATCAGTTAATTACTTCAGAAAAGAGGATGGGGTTCAAACATGACCTAATCTAAAATTATATAAAACCAAACAATATAACATCCCTCCTAAAAAGAACAGAAATGTGTGTGTGATCAAAGAAGGGCGAAAATGAGTGTAGAATATATATACCGATAAGTAGGAGAGACCCGAAGGCCAAGTATAGAACCCATCTTGAAGAGTGACCCTGAATAATGAGACCCTATTGTCTTAATGCATCCTCGAACCACTCCTACAATCTCACCACTTTCTACCACCTCAGCTACCTGCACTACTACTCGTTAATTATATATATATATATATATATATATATATAGACACACCCTTTTTGCTTATCAGACTATGAACAGTGATCTATTTTATAAACGTGTGAAGAGAGAGAGGAAGAGAAAGAGACGACGCACCAAGATGAGACGAAGAGGGTAGAAGCAAATCCTAGAAAAAGGATGATTAGCAAGCAAGTTGGTAAAGATGGAGAGCCCTTCTTTAGTCCCAATCTCACAGTTCCTCTCAAGCTTCCCCACCACTTTCACATCTCTTTCTTCTTCGAACTCCCTTATCACTACTACTTCTTCCCTCTCTCTATCCACCATCTCTCTCTCTCTCTATCGCCTCTCTCAAATATGCATATGAACCCAAACCTTCCTCTCTGTTATTATCAGTTACCTCTTTCTGTTGCCTCTCGTCATTGTTCCTATATATACACATATATACATGCATTAATAATTTGTACTCAGAACTTTATATTATCATCGCTTTAACGATGATGATGATGAGTTTGCGTATTTTTGGTATTCTATTCATTCACATAAAGATTTACAGCGTATATGGGAATTGATGATGATGATGATGATGCGTGCGTTGAAACTTACGGTGGGGTATCGTCCTCCTAACTTGGCGTTCACAGAATAAAAGGCTGACAACGTTTGGAATAGTCGTTTTCATCAGGACAATATCAAACAAGCCTTGCTTCCAAAATCGGTAGCAATTCTCCTGCGGCTCCTTACCATATGATTCACTCAATCTTTGTCATCAATTTCACTTTTTTACTACTTCCATAGTCTGTCACTTCAAACGCTAGTTGGTACCATCCCTGTTCCTGTTCCCTCATAAAATATACATATATATATAACATATCTCAATCATCTACAACTACGCAAGATTTTTCTTTTACTTCTTTTGTTAAAAATAATTAAGGTCAGTGGTGTTGCTTATCACTGCATGTTTTAATTCATATTATTTTGCACTTGGCGCATTATTCTAGTGGCAAAGATGCCTCTCAATCTTACCTCCATGTTCAGGCCCAAAAAAAAAAAAATCTCACTTCAATGCTGACATATAAGTTGTTAAGTCTCAAACATCAGTTATCAATAGAATGGATACCGATGCTTCTTCTCTGACCAATCAAAGATTTGGAAATGGCATACCTACAAAAGATCAAATTTTTTCTTTGGTGCTATTAGCTAAACCCAAATTCAGTTATATGGTCTAATTCTCTATATATTTCCAAGCTTCGTAAATTTTGATTGGTTACAATTATATATATTCCATTTACTATTATAAAAGTTCTCAATATATTCATTAGCAGAATGTTTCCAATAAAAATTGCTGTAAGTGGCATTGAGTCATTGTTTCCAAAATGGACGTGTTTAGGGTATAAGACTTGTCATTATGCCGTAACTGCTAACTCCTACTTTTACATGATCAAAATTGTGCTGAACTTAGAAAAGTTTTAGATTAAATTGGTCAAACAGTCCAATTAAACTCAATATCTTTTTCTCTTAGCCTACGTATGCAAGATTGGCTTATATTGATCCACCCGGAAACATAGAGGCATCAAACTTTACTCAAATAATGCAACCATTGGTAGAGATATTGTTTTTTCAAGCCCCCCAAGAATCATTAAGGCATCAAAGCTCCGGACTTTGAAGAACATTTACAACGGGAACTATCTCAAGAAGGTTGGATAAATTGAACATATAATTGTTTACATACATGGCTCTAGTTGTTCAGATGGCTCCGTTGATCACAGGTTTCATTAAAAAGCTAGGTTGCATGCCTTGCACCTTTGTGGGATTATGCGAACACGAAGGCTTTAGCTAAAACCATGGTAATTAAAAAGTTTGAATCTTCAGTGATTCTTGTCAATTTGCTAGCTCATGATCTTATGCCTGATAAAGTCTCGCACACCAATTAGTTACTTTGTTGTCTCTAAAAACTAAATTGTTTAGGAGAGTTGATGAAGTTTTATATTCAAGGAATCGTTTTCGTACTTATTTCAATCATGAAGTACGAGCTAGAGATTCCTTCATACATTTGTAGGTGACCTCTATGGCGATCGCTTATTACTCTTATATGGAAAGATCAATTTGATGCAGCGATTAGTTGCATGAATATATCAGTATCTGCATAGTTTATAACATGGGTTTGTTTGAATAGAGGTACAATATTTTAAACAAGTTTTTTAATCATGATTTATGAAATGTAAAATAAGTATGTGAGAACAATTTTACCTTGAATTATGTAAATAGATGCCTTAAATTGTGATCTCAAGCAAGCATTACTATATCAGTAAACGTATTTCGATATACGTACGGTTCTATTATAATATATTATAAATAATTTAAATTACATGTTTTTTATTGTGGCTTTACGCCGTGGAATCCAAATGGATGATAGTCCATCAAGTTATTTTTATTTGTTGAATGGGATAAAATTCCATTATGATCATTTCAAAACTTAATTTTTTCTATATCACAAATAAATTCTCAGAATTTAACACTCTAGCTTACTCTAATAGGAACACATATGGCTAATCTCACGACTATTAATGTTTCATGTTCTCTCTTGTCGCAAGATCCTAGTCATCTATCTCTATGTATGTATGCATGAGGGATTAAGGTTTGAGCCGCTTAACTAGAACTTGTGGAGTTACCTGGTTATTTTCTGCCATGAAATGAAAGAGTAGGACCCAACCATTCTTATCACTAAAAGCTGGACTCCTATGATAGCCACTCTTCAACTTAATTCCTTTTTTTTTTTTTTTGAATTTCTTGAAATAAATGTAAAATTTCCTAATTTCTAAACATGATCTATAGTCTCGGAGGATCTCTGCTCCCAAATGATCCTTACTTGATTGAGGGGGCAACCATGGGGAGAAACCCATGTGAAGAGACTGCTATATTATATATATATATAATGATTGTATTACATTTTATGACATCTTTAAAATAAATTATATTGTTTATGGCTTATCAATATTTTACAAAGGTTATATTACTTCCACTCCCTAATATATCCTTCTCTAGTACTATTTATAAGGCACTTTCAATATATTTCACACAGATTAAAAAAAACCTTGAAATATAATAATATATACACCTTTCAAAAGAGATAATTACTTACACTATAATAAATGAAAGACAAAATAGTACATTCGTGCTGAAAATTAATAAAGTGACTTATAAATAAGACAAAAAAATATATTTTCTACCTATAAACAGGACTAGAGGAGTGTATATATATATATAAACTAGATAAAGGCTGATTTTGATTCTAAAGACAAGATTTCAATTTATTTTGTGTCTCATAATTATCATTTTTTTAATAAATTATCCCTATTAGTTGTGTATATTAAAAAATTTCATTTTTGATACAAATTATTTAAAAGGTTACTTTAAAAAAAAGTTAACACATACTTTTAACAAATAATTAATTCCAACTAGATACGAAGCCAGACACAGTTCATATCAATGTGGGAACATCTAGAAAGTGTGAAACGAATCCACGCGGCGTTGAAGGGAGCAGCCTTGTGAACATATATTATATTGTATTCTCCTCTTCTTTCTTATCAATAATTACCTGCAGAGCAAGTAGGGCAGCCAGCCTGTTCATTTTTAGCTCTAGTCAATTCTGATTATTATTGCCTTGTGCCAGCAGAATTCATCATCACCAGCCAGCCACTACTTTAGACGTCTGCAAAATTCCAACTTATGCAAAGCAGCGTAAAACATGGAGCATGACACTGTCAGAATATTCCCATGTTTTATTTTCAGTCTTATTTTTTTACATTTATAAGTTATATTGTTAATAAAGGGTGTTTGGATTCACTTTGTAAAAGTGATTTTACAAAATTTAAAATAAATATATGATAATAGCTTTATCTCAATTTACATAAAAATATTTTTTTAAGTACTCTTCCGATGTAATTGTTGAGTTGATTTTGGTCCTAAATATTAGATATATTTTTTATATTTATTAATTTTTTTAAAATTATCTCTATAGATACTCTTTTAACTATAATCAAATAGAAGAGAAAGAGGTGATATTAAGGAAGATAATTATGGTGTTTTAAATATGTTATATTTCTTATAATTAACTAACTTGCTTAACTTTCTTAATCTAATTAAATTAGTTAAATAGGACTTTTATTAAGAACCGGTGGAGTATTTTTGAGGGTTGTCAAATAAGGCACCACAATTCATTAGAATCACCAAACTCTCTCTACATTTTTAAACCAACTGCTACTTATGTTTAAATTTGAAGTCTCATTGGTTAGGATTAGGATAAGTCATTGGTATCATTCTTATAAAAAGAAAAATACAAGTTTAATTTTTGAGAAGGATGCTTATTGATAGTGTTATGCCTTAAGAGGGCCGAGATTGGTTTTTAAGTTTAAAGTTAAAAACTCCGTATCAACGACAACTAGTTAGTTTCCCTTCTATGTTGCTTTTAATAAAATACTAGTTTCGGTTTTAAATATAAGAACTAGTTGAATGATTTAAATAGATTAAAGAAACAAGTTAAATTAGTTATTTATAATAAATAGGTGTTGTCTTTTCTAAAATATTCTTACTAATCAAATATATTGGCTAGAACTACCATTATTAGAAGGACTGTCTTAAAAAATACATAAATATGAGAGACAAAGTGGATTAAAATATTATATTTAGAGTCAAAATTAAAATCAAATGAGGTCTTGTATTAAATACATGGTGTATTATATTTCTTTCTCTCAGGTGTCTGCAGATTTGTCTGAGTTTATCTCTTTCCCTACGAATTTGACAATCATGCATTCCAGTGAGCATGTATGTCTTTTATTATGCAGAAAAACTACATGCTTTGCTGAGACTTATTTCTGAAACTATTCCACATGTCTATGAGTAGTCTTTTTCTTGCCCTTGCCTTCAATCACAAAAAAGATCCTGTTGCCAGTGGACGGGGACTGGAAGAATCACCTTTTCAGAACCTTGTTTTTTCTTATACATTTATAGTGGGAGCAGTTCATGAATGGTTTCTACTCTTACCTTAATTACCCCCGCTGAAGATATATGAAATGAAACGTCTTACATTAAGAAAACCAAATATAAGAAAATGTGTGAAATGTGTTTATTCATAACTCATAAAATAACGAAGAAGTGTCTGTTAACCCTGAAATAACATATGCTCGAGTAGAAAACTAGGGAATGAAGAAAAAGAAAAGAATTTTATTTTTGAAAGGAAGGCTGCCCCAAAATGTCGCAAGAGATGTTTATTTTTGGTCAAACCGAAAAGACCCTTCAACCACTCTTGATACGCTTCTAGTTATCAGCGCTCTCAGGCCACACTTCCCATTCCAACGCTTTTGTTCAAGTCTGGACCTGGCGATGTCGTTTTTGAATCGCATCAAAAGGCATCAACAGGTGTGAACACATAACTAGATGTTAATTTGGGGTGTTTAGATTATTCAAAAGGTATTTTTTAAAAAAATATTTGTTAGAAATCGAGATAAACTCTTTCACATATTTATTTTATATGTCATAAAAATACTTTTAAAATAATAATTTTGATTCTACCAGACATACTCTGGTATATCTTACAAGTTGTTCGCCCAAATATTTCACTACCCTTTTGTTAACCAGAAACCAGTTGTGCTCTCACTCTCTCACTCAAACCAATCAAGTTGAGTAATATGATTATATAATAACCATTTCATGATTTAAGTTTCACAGAATACGCTAACATGAAAGCTTTCTTGTAAGGTTATGTGTTCGATCTTATTGGTAATTTCAGACTATTAATATCCACTTTCTAAATTAAGATAAAATAGGATGATATCACTCTCCAAAACTGTTGACGTTTTAATTTTGGTAAAATCGTTTAATTAATTTTTATTTATATTTTTATGAGTGAAATTATTTATTTTTTATGCGTACTTGTTTAAATTTGGATTATGAATTTATAATCCTCTTAAGTAAAAGTGGATGATTGTAAAATTTTGGATTATGAATAGAAAATAAAATGGATTTTTTTAAGAGAAAAAAGCCATCCAAGGTGAGCCAATTATTTTGTAGTTGGCCTGAAAAAAATATTCATGGTTTCAACAAATCTATAAGATATATAATTTATCCGGTTATTATTTAAATACACATGACAATATATATACCCCAAAAAAAAAAAGACGAATATATGTATACAGCCTTAGATCTCAACTCCTCTTGCAGGCGAAATAGATGGCAATGGCATATACTACCTCTAGTTCTTAATACTACCTCCGGTCCTTAATATAAGACCCTGTTTGACTTTTATTTTGGTCATAAATATAAGACCCCAATCCACTTTGTCTCTCATATTTACTCAATTTTTTTTAAGATAGTCCTTCTAATAATTATAGTTCTAGTTAATATACTTGATTAGCAAGGATATTTTAGGAAGGACAACACTTATTTAGGACAAATAACTAACTCAACTTACTTATTTAATTTCCTCAAATTAGTCAACTGGCTCTTATAATTAGGATCGGAGGTAGTATAAGATCTTATTTGAATTTTATTTTGGTCCTAAATATAAGAACCTAATCTATTTTGTCTATCATATTTATACATTTTTTTTCCAAGATAGTACTTCTAACAATGATAATTCTAGCCGACACATTTAATTAGCAATGATATTTTAGGAAAGACAACATCTATTTATTATAAATAACTAATTTAATCTTTTTTTAATCTCTTCAAATTAGTTAACTAGCTCTTATAATTAGGATCAGAGGTAGTATATAATTGGTCGCAATCTCTCCAAATGATGGGGGACACATGGCAACGTTACATACCTCGGATAAATCTTCCGGCGGTGCTTCGCTCTATTTCATCATGGTAATATGGGCTAGGCCCTTCGGGCCCTGTTATAGCCCATAACACCAGCGAATTGTTTTTTTTTTTTAATGTGAAAATCGCGCCAAAGCTATTCCGAAAAAACGAAAAGGAAAATCGCGCCAAAGCGGCTCTTTGGTCCCTCTTCTGGAGCGAAAGACCGCCATTCTCAGGTAGTGAGGCGAGTAAGAGGGAACAACGGCGCATTCCTGAGCCTCGTCACGGCATGGAGAAGGATTCTGCCATGGACATCGATCTTCAACCGGAAGAAGAAGGCAAAGAGAAGGAGGAGGAGGAAGATTATTTCCTGAGATTTATCGACTATGCGAGGTCCGAGCTTCTGGAAGTCGAAGGAGATCCCGATCCAAATGGTGATGGTGCGGTTGTTGATCTACCTGGCTGGAGCTGGATCGTGTCTCGCATTCTCAAGACTTGCATTGCTTATTCCAGCGGCGTCACACCTGCGATACTGCTCTCCGAACTCTCTCTGGTACCACATCTCAACCTATTGGTTTTTCCTTGTTGGGCGAAGGAAACGAAAACATCATAGTATTCTGAATCAATTCACCAGTGCGCTGGTTTTAATGTTCTCGTTCTCTGCTATATGGCTGCTTTCTGATGATTGGTTTTATCCTGTAGGCTTGGAGTGAGCAACGCAGAATCGGGGCTTCGACGAAGAGGCTAGAATTTATCGAGCACTTAAAGAAGAATAACCGGAGAACGAAATTGCCAAACACTGTCACCATTGATTCGATATATGAGAAAAATTTCTTGTCCTTAAACAGTGTTCTGGAAGCGGTTATTGTTGATGCATTTGTTCTTCCAGGTACTCTGGAATGACGCATTTTCCTGGTTATTGGAGCTGCCTTCACCGATGATCCCTTTTGGATTGCCCATAAAAAGGAGTAGTCATTGGGATACGCAACTAGGGTGCCAAAAAATACAACAAAAAAGTGGATATTTATTTCTTACATAATTATCTGAAATAAAATTTAAATTAAACAAGCAAACGAGCGACAAACACTCAGTGTTCCACTGGCACCCTGTCTCGGAATCATGCAAGCAGTTTCGGATTCAAACCTTAATTGCTACTTTTGGCGCAAATTTTCATTTGAGAAAATGAGTTAAGATTTAGGGGAAGGAACATAGACCAAGAAAATCGACAATCAAAGGCCTGCCCTAAAATTATGTGCATTCGCCACTCATCTGCTTTGATTTCCCACTTAATTACATCCTCTGCATACAGATTGTTTGATTTTATTTTCCAAATTATACCTATAAATTGAGGTGGGGGTCACAAATAAATTGTCACCTGCAATTTTTTGTTTGCGGTCAACTTACTTATCAATGTTAACTACCTTTCTTCAGGCACAAACATCCAAATGCTAACGTTAGGAGACTATTCAAGTTCCAATCTCGTCGATCTCTATCTCCACCGCAGGTAATTGTAGGAGTTATTGGACCTATCATGGGCATAACTAATTAGATACTTTTAACTCACATGTTATTTGACCTATTTATTCGAGGGAATGAAAATAATGCTGCGCACTGGTCCTCTAGCAAGGAGCAGAGAAGGAAATTAGAGTTAGGGATTATAAATAAATCCTGGAAAGATTGTGTCCTAAGTTTAGCAGTGCTTTTCATTTCCTTTGATGATAATGATATAACATTTCAAAAGCTCCTGCTAAGTCCTTTTCTTGTTAATACATTACCGTAATTCTTAAATGCATATTCACAGTTGGTGAAGTACGTGACTGATGGAGATGGGTGGGGCAATTGAAAATTTGATATGCATGGTTGAACATTCTTGCACTAACTTTTTTTGATCCAACGTTGCAACTGATTCTGGCTTCTCGTGCATTTGTCGATCTGCTTAAAACTGGGCATCCTCCTAATCTATTATTTCATTTGGGATTAAACATAACACTCTTTTGCAGATTCTATAACTTGGTGGGTGTGGAGAATGGAATTCTGAAGAAAGGGAGGGAGGTTTTCCTCACTGGTTGCTATCTTCGAACCGCCTCAGAAGGTGTCAGTCATCCACGCCTTTTGCCAACAGAGTATCTTGTTATACTATTGGATGAGGTAATTGTGAAATGTTTTTTTCTACAAGTTTCTTATCTTTATGCCTGAGGAATGGAATTTTTATATGGCAACTAAGTTGGGTCTCATTCACCAAATTTTTCTTTTTAAAAAACAAGTTTGGGTCTCATGTGCTCTACAGAGTTTGAGAGATTGTTCATGACTTGTAAATAGTGTAGTTTGTTAGATTTATGGCATGTATATTTCAAGTTCTGAGCTAGGTCTCTACCACTGAAAACAATTACTACCTAGCTTAAGGATAAGTTTCAGAACTAGTTTTCCTGATGATAGATTTATTTTATTGCAACCTGTAGAATCAAGATGATGATGCAATGCTACTAGCAGCTCAGTTTGGTGCAGATTCTTTCTCTTCAATATCTCTCAATGCAGCAAACGAAGGGGTTTCTTATTCACTTTATGCTAGGTAGAGTTCAAGTAGTTTCTAGGAAATCCGATATGTCAATCCTTTTCCCCCTTAAAGAAAAAGGCATGGTCTTACTATTTTGTCATTTTCGTATAGGATTGAAAGCATTGGGTCAGTGGAAACTCAAGGCAAGTTTGGAAATGTACAGAAAAAGCAGATTACTCTAGTAGATTGCAACGATGTGAAGTTACAGTTTCTCTTATGGGGTGAGCAGACTGTCCTTTCCAATCTCTTCAGGTGATTTCTTGTACTGTTTCAGACCCCCATAGTTTGAGTACCGCTGTCGCCAACAAGGTTCTATAAATGACTTTTGGTTCCAGAGTGGGAAGTATGCTTGCACTGGACAAACCATATATTTCAAGTTCTACCGAGTGTGATATTGAAACCAGTGAGGAATTTTGTCTTGAATATGGAACTGCAACACAATTATATCTGGTGCCTTACATTCAACAGGAAGAACAGGTGAGTCACGGATCTGTGTGTCTCATAGAATTTGCGATATTGCTAAAATGTTGACTCTGTTGAGCAGGTGCGTGTTTCATTGACACCAAGTCGTCATCAAAGTTCAAGGTCCTTAAATTCATTAACTCCCAGTCAGAGTCCCAAGTTTTCTCAAGTGAGCTTGCCTTGTGATTCTTTCGGGACCATTGATTACAGTAAATACCCTTTTCGGGTGAGTTTACTTTCCATTTCCCTATGTTGGCTCCAGAGCTAATTGCAATGTGCATGTCAGCAATGTATTATTGCTTTTGAAGGTTAACAATATTGATAAAACTCTAGTAATTCTGAAGACCTTTATTTTATGTCTACTGTTTTTTTGCATAGCCGTTGTTAAGCAAATGGCAATCACGCGTCTGTGTAAAATTTTGAAATCTAATATTCCAAATCATCCTGCATGCCCTATATTTAGAAGGAATTTACCTTCCGCATCTTATTGTTTACTAGTTAACATCTTTACCTGGGCGAAGTTTTGCAGTCGTTTGTGGCTGACCTTCAGGACAAAATGACCAGCGTCAGCCTCTATGGTGTTGTTACAGATATTATCAAAGATGTAAGCTCAGAAACTACCTTCTCTATAAGAATTGCAGATACTAGCGGAGCAATATGGGCAAAGCTTCATTTTACCACAGCTTGGTAATGACCGCAAGCAGTGCTGGTGTTTCCTTTGTTCTTTTGTTGGGTAACTAGACTATTTCAGGGATGGGTCTGTCTAAATCTAACATTTTGAGATAACACGAGTGAACGAGAAAGAAGAGGGGAAGGCAAGAAAAGGGGAAAGAAAACGAACGATTAGCATGATGAAAAACATTTGACATTTTATCCTCCTATTTAGCTCTTCTGGTCAATCTTTTAATTATTTCCTAATTTTTCAATATTTCAGGTCATTGGGAAGATTAAGTTTCGGTCACACAGTTTTTGTATCTGGCTTGACATGCCTCAAGTTGAAACAAAAGCGGTGAGCACATCCGACTTGGATGTTAGAAACATAGCATCTCATGGATAACCACCTTTTTCAATTTGTGAAAATACACTAGAGCACGGCTTGGATCGATTTCAATCTTTAAAAGCTGTTGTCTAGCGACCTTTAAGTACCCGTTTACTTAGATTAAAGCATTAAAATGATAATATGATCCGGTTGAATGTTTTCTATTGGCAGCCTGGAGGTGTCATGGTTTGAGAATGATGATGGGGCATCTTTCATCAATATCAGTTGCTTGCCAGCATTGATCAACTCATCTTGTCTTCATAAGATATCACGCCTCTCTGATATAACTTGCAAGACTGGCTATGCGCAAGTAAGAGTTACTTGTTCTGGTTAATTACCATTAACAACTACTTTGCTATCTCGAATTGTTGCACTTAACTTCCAGTAAGAAGTAACAGGGATGTTGGAGGGATTCTAAACAAAATTGAGCTGTCATTACAGAATGGTTCCATTCTGTTGTCTCATATTTTAGGAACAGTATATTCATGTGGTCCCGTCCGGAAAAATGCCTTTTATATAGTAGTAAACAAAGAAAAATAAAGCATTTGGATCACCAAATTTCCATCTTCCTCCATTTTCAGAAAATGGAGCTAACGCCTTATATAGACCTCATATAATCAGGCAATCATGTGACATTACATCAGCAGCACAGAAACTTCGGAAAAAAAAAAAATTGAAAAGCTTATGAACGAAGATTGAAATATGGAAGATAGAGGCGCATGGAACCCAATGCCCCCAAAAAAAGACTACTGTTCATAATTTCTAAGCAGTATATCGTTTTACAAGATGTATGTTTATTCTAATTGGTTCATTCTTATAAACGTTGCAGATATGTCGAATCTGGCTTGAACCGATGGAACATTTTCATGTTAATACTAGATTTTCACATTCTCCATGTGGTCACTTCGTCAACGAGATGCCTAGTGGCCTCTTAGAATGCGGCTTCTGTCATAAAGTTTGTGATGCTGAAGTAGTACGAACTTTCGACTTGAAAATTACCGTTGCAGACGATAGTGCTAAAGTTTTGGCATGGTCTACTGGTCAAACGGCTATGGATTTACTGCAGATATCTCCGGAGGAGTTTTATGAACTTCCTGAGGTAACGTGTCTAATTTAGTATTTCTCCTTTTTTAAGGACTTTGTTGGTAGACTTCCTTTCTTGAAAATCGTAGACGTGGCCAAACAAGTAACTATGAGAACGTGTTCGTAGCATCTTGTTTATAGACTGAATTTATTGATCTCGTCGTTTCGAAAGAAAGTTGCATGAATCATCCTGTGTGATATACAGCAGGGCTGCCAATATGACGCAGTAGTGAGGAATTATATGCATACGACCGCATAAACATAAAATAATTTAGTCTTGCAGAGTAATCAGTCGAAACTTCTGTTATATTTTTTTGAGTATATTCTAAACAAGTAATAGTACTACTCACATCACATCATGGTCAGTCTCTAGTGACAGCAATAGATCAAGTTCAGTCGATTATGGCACGTAGAGCAATTGATGAAAGTAGCTTGGGAAGGCTGCGAATTATCAACTCAAATGAGATTAGTTGTGTTCAAATACTCGTACGATTGTATTTGCTGTCAGCTTGTTTTCCCCCACCAACATATAGGGTAGGAATTAGGATTGTGAATTCTGTATATAAAAACATCAATTTTTAGCTGATGCCCAATAAAACAACCAACTTGTTGCGTCAAGTATCAGATATGAACTTGGTATTGTACAAGTATCTTTGATGGTCATGTTTACTTGTATCTCACATGCCGTCACATTATTTTATGATCAGGAAGAACAAGTAATGTACCCGTCATCATTAGAGAATGAGAGTTTCATGGTTGCATTAGTGAATTGTAAAAACGAGAGCTATGGATTGATACAAGGCCCTTCGTTAGACAATTCAACGCCCTGGGAAATCACTCGTGCATACAAGTGTGAATAAATGGTCCACGAAACACAGAAATGTTGTCCGAACAAGGGGACGGCAAGTGTGCGGGAAGGTAATCCTTGCCCATTTTCTGTAGTGAAAAAGGTATTTCTGTCAGCGTGTCAAAGAAGATATCCGATGACAGTGCCTGCACAGGACGATTCCAGAGTTGAATTCCATTTTGGGATCCAGTTTCTTCCATGGTGAAACAAGATACAAGAAACACCGATACCCAAAAAGGTGCGTCTCTTGCGCAATTTAACGAGAAGCTGATCCAATTATGAATCGCATAAAATGCTTGCAGGAAGCTGGGAACTTTTTTTTTTTTTTTTTGGTGATAAGGAAGCTGGGAACTTGATAAAAAGGATTTATTTTAGGGGGGAAAAATCTTGTGGCGACATGTATGAGAGGAAGCCATTTTTTTTTTTTAAAGTAAGTTTATGGGAGGAGAGGTGTATTTTGCTCATAGGGGTTCAATCTCTACGATGCTAGCTCTGATTGGCATTAGTGTAAGAGACCATCAGGAAATAATATTGGGAAAATTATCATTAGAGATCTATTTAATTTTTCTATAATCTTTTTGTTATTTCAGTTTACTCAAAGGTAGTTACTACGTTATGGATTTGATCATACAAAATATTTATCATTTTTTGAATGTTATGTAATTATTTCATTAAAAATTTTAGTTTTTTTTAAAAGAAATTTAGTTTGAAGGTACCATACTATGATTAAGGGTTAAACAAAGTTGAAAGATATTGAATAACGTACTTTAAATCAAAAAGCGGATAACTTACATTATTTTTATCCTAATTGTCATTCTAATTCATGTAAGGCCTCCGATGGATTGATCTATTTATTACTTCTGGTGAATGAATATATTTGCTAAGTTCAATTTCAAGCGGTGTTCACATTTAGTATTTGTTTTGAATATAATCATTTTTAATAAAAGAATACTTGTGCATAGGAAAAAAAATTTGTTGTTTATTTGAGAACTTTTTTATTCTAGGCCATTCTTAAGGCCAATTTCTTATTCAATTCATCTTTTGGGTGAGATATAAACCATGAACACCTGCTAGATCGGCTAGGAAAAAAAAAAACAGAACATTTTTTGGACCAATCAAAAGAGAAAAAGAACTCTCACCAAAAAAAAAAACAGAGAGAAAAAGAATAAGGCCATTAAGGATTACATAAAATCTGGATTAATATGCGGCATTATATATGATTTTTTGCAACAACTACATAATTTTCGATATTATTGATTAATGTCTGAATTTAAATAAAGAGGTACTACTATAAATGTTATGCTACTGGCTTTCCGCGCCTTTGGTCACCGACAGAGGCTACCGTTTCTTTTCATATTGCTACAAGGCTGTTAGGGGAGTTCTGATAGCATTTTTAAGACGGTTTGAATATTCTTTTGCAAAATTTGTTGGGGGAATCTCATTCATCAAAGAAAAGAAGCAAAAACAGACGGAAATGAGAGAAGAAAGAAGCGGGTGACCAAGGTTAGTAAATATTCGGAGTCGTACTAATTCTTCAAATAATTCTTGAATTATCTGTCAAGTAATCATTCTTTCCTTTATTAGGAACAAGCTTTGCTTTTTCTCAGCCTTGCTTGAGCCTTAGCTCATACATGTTCTGGAATGACATCTCTGTTCATTTTTTCTTTTCCCCACTCAATGGTTTACTGCGTCAGTTATTCTTACCATTCTTCCCAAGTTATCCTGGATTCCAGTGAACTTTCTTTCTTTAGTATGGTAAGTCCTGTAGTTCTGGCAAGATATATAACTTCTTGCCTTGTTAAGGTGTCTATACAAAATATACTATGCAACAGTTCTGGCTGTGGCGCTGGCCACAAAAATAAAGAACCAGGTTGGCATCACAGATTGATTAAACAGCTCACGTCCAGGTCTGTATTTTCCTTCTCTTGTCCCCCATTGAAATTTCATTAATCAATCTTTGCATTCTGTCTGAAAACTGTGGTTTCTATATTTTTTATTAAATTAAAAAAAAAGGAAAATAGATATGTTCTACCTTCTCAGCATTGGAGTTCTAGCCGTAAAACTGACATATCACCTTCAAAATGCAACAGAGTGCTTCCGCTACCATGAAAATATCGACTTTGGGTTAAAACTAATTGCAGGATTACTTAAAAGGCCGAAGGTATGTGTAAAAGATGTCACATGATTGATTTACGTATTTACCTAAAGGCCGAAGTTTAGCCCCTAAATCCTCTCCTGCACCAGAGTATCCTGCTTCTGTTAGGGTCTTGCAGGAGAGAACCTGCAGAGCAGCTGGGTTCCCTCATCTCATGTGCTGGAGGATGCTGCTGCACTCGAGCACATTTGCATTTTATCTTTGTTTTAAGAAATAAAATATAATTTTTTTTAATAAAAAAGTGATGATAATGGGCTGTCTCTCGTAATTACAGGTAGGGTCACAAATTTTAGTCTAAGGGTGGAGAAGGGAATTCTGACAGGAAAAGAAGAAAAAGGAAGAGTATCAGAATTTGAGAGGTTATCAGAATCCCTTACCTTTGACCCCAGATGAAAAAGTTTTATCCTGTTTTGATTTCTTCTGCATGTCTGGCTTAATCAAAATACTGAAATAGACGGTTTGCCTTGTGCCTCTTCCTCCGAGAAGTCTGAGATGTATTATTGAATTCAAACAATTTGATTCATGAAATAGCATTGCTTCATCGCATTAGCATTTTCACTGACGACTTAGCTCGTTGTTTAGTTAAAGAGATAATCATTTTAATGCTACAAAGCAAGGACCCGCCTTCCTATGTTGATTCTTGGAACTTGACTTTATGCAAAATCTATCAATCTCGATACTATGAACTGATTCCATTTGAAAATTTTACCCACATAGGAATGAAATAATTGAATGTGTAAATTCTAAAATGCCATCTGAAGGCATATAGATGACTTGTTGCATAAAATGCCAGGTTAAAGCAGACTGTTCATTTTTTGTCGTAATGAAAAAGTTCTCAATAGTTTAGGATGAGCTTTGAAAAATGAGAACCGATGCAAATACAAAGCACAAGTGCTCTGTGTGGCATAGTATTCAATACTGGTGTTCAACGCCTAGTCGGCACAAGCATAATTCCCTTTTGGAGATGCGCGCGCTTCATATGATATGGAAACTGAAGGCTCTATCCTCTTCATGTTCTCAGTACTCTGGAATTATGTTCATACTTATATTTTCCTTTAAGTATGGCTAACTTCAAATCTTGTTGCATATACATATATGTATGTTATATGTACCAAACTGTAGTCATGCTTTTGTCTATGCTTTCTTTGAGTACAGTATAATTACTTACATATAAAAAGGCTTTCAGGTATCAATTTTCCATATAAAGAGGGAAGCCAGGCCCTAGATGGAAACTGGTAGTGGCGAACTCAAGGAAACAAACAAAGAACTCGTATCTTCCATTAAAGAAAGGATAGAAGCCATCTCATCATTGAGATCCATCTTCATAGTGCCAGAGAAGCTTAGAACATCGGGTAATGATCATGGGAATGAAATGTATATCCCTGATACAGTTTCCATTGGTCCCTTCCATCATCACAGAAATGGAAACCTAAAAGTCAAGGAAGAGCACAAGTTGCATTACCTTTATACTCTGCTCAGTCGCAAGCCGAACCTGGAAGCAACATTGCACCAATGTATAAAAGCACTGGGAGATATAGAGCAAACAGCAAGACATTGCTATGAAGGAACACTCAATCATAAGAGCGACGAGTTTGTGGAAATAATGCTCATTGATGGCTGCTTCATCATTGAGCTTTTCTTGAAGTATGCTTATAAGGGTCTGAGACGCCGTGGTGATCTCATATTCACCTCGGAGCTGTTCTTTGACGTCAGGAAAGACCTCATTTTGCTAGAAAACCAGATTCCATGGATGGTTCTTCAGAGTTTGTTCGAGATTGTGCCCAAACCAACACCTCGTACTCTCAGCGAGCTTGCCCTCGGTTTCTTCAAAAAGATGTTACCAGGAGAACTGGAATTTCTCAGAGAGAAGTTCAGCCAAGAAGGCAACCATTTGCTCGACCTTATCCACCAGTGCTACATCCCTACATATGCGATAGTTGAATCAAAGAAAGCTGGGGAACCAAAAGCAGAAGATATGAAGTGTGCATCAGATCTTCGGAAACATGGAATCAAGTTCATGAGGTACACAGCCGCAAGCTTGTTAGACATAAGCTTTTATAAAGGGGTTTTCGAGATTCCTCCACTGGAAACCAAGAAGTACAATAAGATACTGTTCAAAAATCTTATTGCACTTGAGCAGCATCATTCTGATCAGATTCAGTACTTCACATCTTATGCCAAGCTCATGAAAGCCTTCATCAGCTGCAAGGAAGATGCCAAATTGTTCACACATCTGAGGATTGTGGTCAGTGACAGTAAAGATAAGGCCAAGCACAAGGACAGGGATATGGTGAAGGAAGAAGCTCTTTCACTCTTCAGCAGCCTCTGCGATCGAGTGGATGTGAAGAAGTTCTATTATGCAGGAGTTGTTGGAGAGGCGAACGATTATGTGACAAAAGGGAAATCATGGTGGCAGAAACTTAAATGCGGTTGCCTTATTTGACTTTTTGTGCTCATTCTCTTGGAGCTTTTTGTGTGTGCGCGCGCGTGAGAGAGAGAGTTTCACAGTCAACAGTTTTTCACAACAATTTCCACCCAAAAAAATAAAATAAAATAAAAAGGAGTGCTTTCCCCTTTTTGATTGCCAACAGCAACAGGGTAGTAATAACTTCGTGGGATTTTATGATGAATGATTATAAGCAGTTCAAATTTACGGCAAATGCTAGCTAATGATGATGGAAGGCCAGAAGTTATACAGGTTGTGTGTCATACAATAAGTATTAACCGATAGGAAAGAAGGAAAAGGTTAACAAATAATTTAAAGTACGATAATAATCCTAAAAATATCTTGTTACTACACGAAACGGAGATCACAATTTTTTACAGGAAAAATAGTTGAACATCTATTCAATAGTGATTCATAAAATTTTATGTGAGAAGAATTTTATTTCAACTTATATAAAAACGTTTATAAGCATTTAACTATAAACGAGCTTGAATCCATCTAGTGGTCACAAAATTGAAGTATGTTGAGCCTTGACAATGATTCAAATGTTTATATTCTTGTTCATAAATTTAGTGTCAGATTTACTTTTTTAAAAAAAATACAAAAGAAAAGTGCCAATCAACTTCAAAATCAACCAATTTTCTCGACATTATGGTTAGGATATATTGATATTGTGTTGTGATGTAGATCATATTAATTTAAACCTAAAACATTTTTATTATTTTTGGTTGAGGTACAAATTTGCTCTTGGAGTACTGGCATCTGAAATTTTTTTTAATACAAATTTATTTTGAAAGTTTAAAAATATAACAATATTACCCATATTGCTGAAAATATACTAATAATCAATGTTAATTTTTTAACGATAGGAGGTAATAATATAATGATTTTAAACTTTCAGGTTAATTTGCGTCAAAAAATTTCTGAATGCCCAATACTCCTGATTGAAAATTTTCGGTTTAAACTTAGACCTTGTTCCTTTGTTTTTCATACTAACCAATGATTAAAACAATTTTTTTTAAGAAATGATGATAAACAAAATAACCTATAAAATAATTATACAATAATTTATTAAGGAAGGAAGTCGGACGGGGGGACGTTTCCTCGTTTTGCAACTTGCTATTTTGCGTCATTCTTTTTTTTTTTTTTTTGGGTGTTGCCAACCCTATTTTACTTAATTCAGCATCATTATTTGCAGAGTCCCGGTCACATTCAGTTCCTGAATTAGAAAATATATACATCCAAGAATAGTAATTGAAAGAGACCCATGTCATTAATTTTTAAATATCATCAAGAGTTATTAATCATTTTTAAAAATTATTCAAATGTTTATCTTACTCTTTTGATGATATTTTACTCTAGTTATGCGTCACGCGCATCTAATAATCCATAATCCGTACTGGCACCAAGTCTCTGCCATGTGCGCCGTCCAGTTGTTAATCATGGAGTAGTTCGTTGTTCAGTGGTGCATCCGACGGTCAGAAACAAAAGCAAACAGTCTCAAATGTCTGCCGTTTTTGGTTTTTCTGCATAGAAGATCTCACCGGTCGTCTTTCGCGCCTAAGCCTCAGAAGTTGCGGTCTTCGTCATCAAGCTTTCTCTGGGGCGCGTTCACATAACCCAAAAAAAAAAAAACCAAAGCCTTATCTCAGAACGCTGCACTTTGCCTTGTTTGTCGCCAAACCGAGAAATGGCAGCTCATAGGAGAGTCGGAGTGGCCGTTGATTTCTCACCTTGCAGCAACAGATCTCTCCAATGGACTGTGGATAACCTCGTCCGAGAAGGGGATCACCTCATTCTTCTCAACGTTAGCCGCGAATCGGATTACGAGAAGGCCGAGATTCAGCTCTGGGCAGCCACTGGTTCTCGTAATGAGCTTCCTCCTTTTGCTTCTGTTTTTTTCTGCCTGTTTCTATCTTGCTTGCGCCGTATAATCTCGCTTGGCTTTGCGACTTAGTTAAACAACATCGATCATTGTTCGCTTTGCTTGAAGTAGTTTGATGATTAGATTCTTAAATCACACGATCGGGCTGCTATTGCTTGTGCCAGAATCTAACTGATCTAGGCAGTACTTTATAAATCTCTGATTTCTATTAAACTGAAACGATGTCCATGGTATGAGTTCAAATTCTAGAACTGAAAAACCTACTGCGGAGAAGCATGTTTGTTTTATTTGTCCTGATTTTGTTCTCGTACTAGAGTTTTTGGGGTCAATTCCAATTTGAGAGATGAGTTTAATATATTCTGCCTGCTCTTTACAATAACAACAACAAGCCTTGTCCCACTAGGTGGAGTCGACTATATAAATACATGACGCGATCGTGCTCTGTCAATAACCCAGTCTTAGATATGTTATTGACTAGGAGGTCTCGTTAATGACCTCATTAAGCGTTCTTCTTGGTCTTCCTCTTGGTCTTCCTCTGTTTTTTTTATGGGATTCCATCTTGTCTGATCCACCTTCCTCACCGGGGCCTCCAATAGCCTTCTTTGCATATGTCCAAACAATTTTAAGCGATTTTCTGCCTACTCTTTAACAAGGCAAAATTTTTCTTATTAGTTATAGATCTTTTAAGCCTTTCATAGATCTAAATGGTATTTCTTCCTCTTTCAAGATAAGAAGATTTTATGAACTGTCAAAACTCTAACCATTTCCCCATATTTATTTAGTACTAAATGGATTTCCGTACGTTGAACCTAAATGCAGCTTTGATTCCGCTGGCTGACTTCTGTGATCCAGTGATCATGAAGAAGTATGGAGTGAAACCTGCTGCCGAAACACTCGATATTGTTCAAACTGCTGCCAGGCAGAAGAAGGTATAAATATAATTATAACATCTTTGGCCTTAAAGGTGATGATTGTTCAAATTCAATGTTCATCGGAGTGGCCTCAACTCTTTTTCTGGCGCAGGTTGAAGTTCTCTTGAAGATCTACTGGGGAGATGCTCGTGAGAAGATTTGCGAAGCAGTTAATTCCATACCTCTGGACTGCCTTATTATGGGGAACAGAGGCCTTGGGACCGTCAAAAGGTACCATAGTTTAAATATGTCGTTCGCAGGTAGTTTGGACAGAAAACAATTAAACCATGAACACTGATTCATTTCTCACTTTGTGTGAAACATGGATTTACAGTTTGGTTTGGATGAAAAACTCTTCCGACATTTAAGGATAAGGAGATACTTAGGAATTTTGTCCATTTTGACTCCTACTAGATATTGAGTTGTTGTTCATTCTCTGCATAATTGACAGGGCTATAATGGGCAGTGTGAGCAACTACGTAATGAATAACGCGTCTTGCCCTGTGACAGTGGTGAAGGCAGAGTCCCATTGAAGCCGCTTTGTCTCTGTAGCATGCTCGAAGTCAATAAGCTTTCATCTGGTTGAGCCATGATTTCCTTGTCGGCTGGATAAGTTGTATTCTGCTCCTTTCCAAAACGAACTTATATTCTAGCAAAATAATGCTGTTCTATGATCTTTGTGTTTTGTATTGGATTAATATGAGTGCATATATATGGTCAGTGTTTGCGTTGCATGTTTTATGATCAACTGCGTATTCAGTGTGTTTGGGCCTATATTGCTGAATTTGTGTACATAAAGGCCATTATTATGTTACGAAATGAAAATATGAATAAGAACGATAATCAAATTTGATGGAATTGAACAATACTAATGTTTGGGACGTCAATGAAAAAATAATTTTTTTGGGGGCCTAGTCGAAATTAACGTTCTATGTGAAGTGACGCAAATATCATTAGGCTCCCCTCATTGCCTAGCATGCCGTGCAATGGTTGTTGACTGGGGGCATTGACCAGTTAACGGTCACGGGTGGTCGATCATAAAATTAATTGCAACCAAGATTCAATGGATTTAAGAGTATTTTAGTAACTACAAATATCATTAAACGCTATTTATTGTTCATTTTACTAATCACTAATAGGATTATTGATTAAAAATAATAATTCATTTGCTTTATCGAAATTCAAATTATTATAAGAGATTTTAAATACAATTAATTTAACATATAAAATTTATAGTAAGTGACACTCATTGTAAATTATGAACACTATTTTTCTTTCTCAAATTCCATATAATATAAATTGTAATGGTAATTAGCATAACAAAAGCAGCTGTCACAATGTTACATTAATTGGATTTCCAATACCCCATTTGTTTTATTATTAAAGAAAAATTACAATTAAATCCAAAGTGAAAGAAATAATTACTAAAAAATCTTAATAACAACCCGCACAGTCTGTAATGACAACTTCTACAATGAACAATGACAATTTTTTAGATTTATTTTGTAACTTTTTTCTTTTCTTAAGACCTCATTATAATTCTCCCTATTATTAATTTTCTCATCACACGAAAATGGACCTAAAGCCAAACAGGGCCTACAAATTTATAAGCAAACATATAAGTTTATCCAAAAACAACCATCCTTTGCCAACGGTAGAATTGCCAAATATATTGCCAAAGCGGGATTCAATGTTGTATATAGCAAACCTTTTGCACTTGGTCCAGGAAGTAGACAATGAACTATCCAAAAATAATGGATGAAATAAGCGCGCTAAAAAATTGCACCCGGTGTAGCTGACAGCTGTATAGTGCATTTATATTACTATAGTTACAGCATCAAAAGGTAGCTAAAAATTCATGATATACAAATATTTCACTTTTGAGGAACGCAGAAGCCAGCACAAACGAGTACATCTACGATCCATCCATGAAAACTGCACCATGTTCAACAGATTTGATGAACTTCTTCAGCAACAGTACCACGATTGCGATTGTAAGTCCAATTGCAGCCAATGTGAACAAACGATCATCAGCATTCTGGGCCCTTGCTTCTGGCCTTGGATTCGAAACCCTTTTATCTGAATCTTGGGACAGCTGGTTGTTTGAAACACTAGATGGAATTTCTCTTGAAGCTTCGACACCAATAGGATGAGGATTCGCATTTGCCGGTTCTTCTTCAACAATTTGGTCAACTTCTGTTCGACTTTGAGGCCCCTCTCGGGCTGGCGTCTCTGGATTTGGAGAACTAACCCGGCTCACATCTTCCCCATTTTCATGGTGTTGTTCTTCAGGGTCTTGTGATGGGCTATGTTGGGGAACAGGAGGTGCTTTGCTCAGCATATACTCATGTATCTGAGATCCAAAATTAAAATTAGCACAAGGAATTGCAGAAAACATGAACCAGCTAAAAACCAATAGAAAACAAATTTTACCTCATCAGTAAGTTTTTGACGTTCAGGAGTTCCAAATCTTGGAGGCGCTTCACGAGATTTAATTGCCAATGCACGCCTCTCTTCCTTCTTGTAATCCAATGAGCCCAATGCGCCATTGGGATTGGTAGGCATGAATGCAATCAATGCAACTAAAGCCGTCCTTACTGATAAAAAGAAATTTACATCAGCCAGGTACGAACCTTGGGACATCATAGTAAAAAACTCTTATGTGAGGAGAATTATATCTATATGAATATAGCAATGCCAAGTTTCCAATGCAACATAGACAGCACCGATATCTCATAAGAATTATGAAGGCCACAAGCAAACATCTCGGGCAGCTCTATAGCTGGAGAGCAACAAGCGACATAATGCCATAAAACAATCAGTCTCTCATGTAACTCTAAAAACCACAAAAGGCATATTTGCAATATATAATGCAAGCTGTGTCCCTAATTTGCCTCGAACAAGACTTGCAAAATAATTAGAAGTAGCAGGGTACCAAACCAAAAAGGAGATGTTATTACCGCTCCAAGATGGTTGCCAATGTTCTGGATGATGATTTGATATGCTTAAGCAAATCTTGGTTTGCGTCTCAAAACGACCATTAGGCTGGCAACATAACGGTAAAACTTATGATAGACTTGAGTTTTGAAATTTCAGAAAAGAGTGGTCAACAAAAATTAAAGCAGAACAACTGTAAAAGATATTATGCAAATTAATATGACAAAACAATCTAATCTATCTAAAGGGGGAAAATCTTACTGTCAACAGCATAAATGAAGGAGGTTTGAATGGATATTCAGCGGGCAACTGAATCCGTCCATGATAAATACCACCCTCAAATTCAGTTTCACAAGACCCTCTTATTGCAAACTGCCATTCAAAAATATTTTCCTGAAAAAAATTATCATATCAGAGTCCGTTAAAGAAAACTTCTGGAAGACAGCAAAAACAAGGCAATGCCGCTCCATAATCAAATGCAAAGTTTAAATTAGCAAGAAACTAGGAATATAGATAGATCCAGACCATGTGGGAAAAATCATGCACAATACGCACCCTCATATAGAGGGAAAAAAAATTAAAAATAAAAGTGATGAAGAGCGCCTTCACAGTTCAGGTTCATATAGTACATATGATTCTGTGGGGAATTGGGAATGAGCTTATAGTACATATGATTCGGTGGGGAATGTGGAATGAGCTTGAAATGGCTCTAAAATAATCCAGTCACTCTAAAATGTTTGGTTGAACTTCGATAATGCAATGGTATAAAAACAAAAAGTATAAAAGAAAGGAACCACCCGATAATTAGTTTAATTTATCATGATAAAAGAAAATAAATAAGGAAGGAAACAAGGCCTCGCCTAGGAATATTTTTCCCATACAGGAGTGGATGGCATGATAAAGTTCAAGTCAACTTTAATTAATTTCATGTGGTCATGTTTTATCAACAATAATAAAAGGGAAATAAAGATAAAACTTCCACTAAGGTAAACTGTTCAAACGAAGGAATAAATAAGACCTTAATTTTTTCAGTTTGAAAATCTAGACCCTTTCAATTCCGTGCCTAGACAACTATCTTAGTCTTAACCAAGACCACGAAAATTATGACGCCTCTGATCTCCGTCACTCAAAAGGACAGACGCATACTTCTGATGAGGAGTCGGATCTACTGGTTTCTTTCAATGAGGAAATAACTTATGCTCCACACGCAGCCACAGATCAGTGAAGGCAGGCGTTCTGATTCTTTCTTAAATCGCAAAAAAGTCAAGATTCGCAATTCGGTGACAGCCACAAGCCTAATCAAGGAACTCTACTATATTGATGGAAGGGATAAGGTCTTCACTTTCACTGCTAGCAAAAAACGTTATTAATTGCAATAAATAGCTAGACACCATAACAAAAGGCTACCTCTAGAGCTTAATCAAACCCCATTGGTCGATAATTCCACTAAAAGAACGTCGAATATGCGCACCGTGATTTGAAATTGAAGAACAAGATGAGAGATCCTGGACAGCAAACCCTAATAGAACAGGAACTCCTTGAAAGTATTAGTTTGAGGTGAAAAGAGATAATACCTCAAGCGGCAAGCTCATGAAATCATCTGAAGGGTTAGATTGCATCTCCTTCACCTCCTGTAGAATACGCTTCACCGCAGGGTTCTTCAGGTTGTACTTCTCCGCCATAATTTGAGACCTCAAACCACGTATACAAAGTTTGACGGGACAATTTATTCAATCAAATCCTGCACGGACACTATTGCTGCCGACTCCACCACGGCTGCGGGTTGAATACGACGGCAAACGCCCAGCGCTGGACAAGAATTCAAGCTATGCACATTTGGAATATACCGGAGGAAAACGCGTCGGAAAAGAGATATGAAAACGAGGACGTTCGCTCTCGGATTGACACGTCATGGGGCGAGTGTTTTCTTACGTGCCGGTCTTTTATTGGAAATAATGGAGCTGGTCTTCCCTCCGGTTGGATCAAGCGAGTAGTTCGAAAGCAAATTATTATCGAAGGCACTACGTGCCTGTTTGGCAACACTTATTTGAAGCTTATAAGTAGCTTATAAGCTCTATAAGCTCGATTGACAAAAGTAGAGTTTGTTTGGATCAGCTTTTTTACAATTGGACTTTTATTTGAAAAGCTACAATAAGCTATAAGCTAAAATTAACAGCTTATGACTTATAGCTTATGGCTTATGGCTTTTGAAATATGGAGAGAGAAAAAGTTAAGAAATTTATTACTTCTTTTGGTTCTTATTATAAGCCTCAAATAACTAATTTGTAGATAATAAAAAATCAATTAAAATTAGTTGAAAGTAATGAATAAGTTAGAAATATATTTTTATTTTTAAATATGCTCCTAAAAATATATTTTTATTTTTTTATGTTTCACTTTATATTTAAAATATTTTTTATGACTTCTTCATATTAAATTATTTTAATTTCATTGTATTATGTGAAATTATTTTTTTAATCATGTTTCATTATTTATTAAAACTCATGCCCATTTTGGTAATTTTTCAGCCAAAATTACTTTTACTCAACTATAATCCAAACAAGCTTTTTCCAATCTCATTTTTGTAAACTAGCTTGTCTGAACTCTAATCCAAACACAATTCAGCTTATCCAATTTAACTTTTACCAACTTCACTTTTCCATAAGCTACTTTTTCTATAAGCTGCTTTTCCAATCGTTGATCCAAACGGACCCAGTAAATAGGTCAGACTCAGGTTTAAGCTTATTATGAGGTATAGACAAACAGGCCAGGCCTATTTTTATAAGACCCAGCTTACAAGACAACAGGCTTGACCTATTTAGTTTTTTTTTTTAATTTATACTATTATATAATATAATTTAGGTGAACTTTATAAATTATTTATAAAATTACTAACTTAGCCATAATCCTAAGTTTCACATCCCATCCTTCACACACAAACACAACCCATTCATCAATCAATCTTTCACCTCTATATTTCTTTTCTTTGATCACTCAAGATGATTACGTTAGCTCACTCCCTCTTCCTTGATTTACGTTGTTCACTAAAGCATAATAATTGTAGTAAGTTTGTTTTAGTAATGCCCAAATGAAATATTATAATACTGCTAGAAAAGCAAGAGGTAAAATCTAGTTTTACATGCCACTTGTTGGGTTTGGTTGATTTTAGAAAATATATCTCCTTAGTCAACATATAATTGGTTTTTCTTATTCATATTTGCTGAAACCATTGTTGTTACTAAGTATTCTTTTTCCTTACTAGACTCTTATTATCTTATATTGTATGTGAGAATAAATCCTAAGCTTTTAAGACATAACGTAGGCTTTAAAATAGGTTTGAAGAGTTATACATAATTTGGAGACATGTGCTTTTAAGCCTATTTAAATACCTAAATTTTAAGTAGGCTTTTAAAAAGACTTTCAGACCTTATCAGACCTTTTGAAGATTCAAGCTCGAGCTTAAAAAAAAAAAAAACCCTACATGCAAGCTCAGGCTCAGGCCTAGGTCCAGGCTTTAGATCTCTAATACAGGTCCAAGCCTATTTAGCTAAAACTTAGTCTAACCTAGCGTATTTCCACCCTTAGTAAATATGATAATACAAACTAACATAAAATTTTTCTCACATACTTATTTTATACTCCCTCCGTTCCTTATTATAAGAGACATTTAATGCTCATAACATGTTCCTATATATAAGAGACACTTAAAAGTTGTCTTTATTTTTGTGTGTTGATTTCCTATTTTACCCATATTTATTGTCTCAAACTCACACTCTCCCTCCCTCCCACTTCTCTTTCTTTTAATAATTTAATTGCTCTCTCTCATGCTCTCTCTCCTTATTAATGAGGGCATTTTTGGAAAAAAATTATACTTTTTATACATTGATTGTTCTTAACTAATTTTAACTGTTTTTTTATCAACGTAATTCGGTTATTCGTCTCTTATAATAAGGAACGGAGGGAGTATTTTATAAAATACAATTGAAAATTTGTTTTCAAGATCATATCCCAATATAACAGGGTTTTTTTTTAAGGCCTCCTATTAAAAGTAACTTTATTTAAGATACTGTTAATTACAAAATGTAAATATCTTTTTCAGTAAAAACTGGTTCGCTACGGAGGACTAGCTCCCTCGACCAACTCTTATTAGTATAACGGGCTTTTGCTAAACTCGTAAGTTGACGAGTTGAGAACTGTGGATATTTAGGCAATGGGCTGAGTCCATTAAGAATGCCAGATGGGGTGTTGCATGGGACGCTGTGTCCGGGGACCGCCACGTATAAGCCCAATGATGACGCCGAGTCTTCGAGGAGCCTGCTAATGTTGCCCCCAGAAGCAACGTGAAAGTCATACACTTTCTGAAATTTGTCTTCCATCAGAGTATACTACGCGAAGAGAAAATGGAGGAGAGGATGAAGGCAGAGGAGAAGAAAATAGGGATTATAGAGGCGTGGTTGAGGAAGCACCGTCTACAGTTCACCGGAGCCACCAAGCACCCTTTCGTTCTCTCCATTCGCGACGGCACCATCGACATGGCTTCCTTCAAGACATGGCTGGTTCTTACCTCACTTCCCGTTCCGTGTTATTTGTTTCATTTTAATCATTCATTCATTTATACTTCTTTTACTCATTTGGTTTTCTGGTTTCTCCTAATTTGACTTGCTTTTCTTATGAACTGCCTGTGATTTTCAACTATGAAAGTGTTTGTCATGGGATTCAATTCACCTTCTTTATTAATTAGTGCTTAGATATTGACACGATCTTGAATTTACTGTTTAACCTTTCTTACCGAATGAGTTTTTGATGTTGTTTGAGGGAAAAGTGTTTTTCCTGTTCCATCACGTATTTTATGATGCGATTTTGACTTTCTCTGGTGAGAATTGCTTGCGCCTCTTCGATTCATTAAGGATGTGGCTTTTAACGACAGAGGCTTTAACGAACTGTTTGAGCCTGGTTGACGTGTTTCTAAGGACACTCTTGTGAGTAAGGCCTGAAACTATTCATGAGACGTAAATTTTTCACGCATGCTCATGCAGGCACAAGATTACTTATTTGTCAGAGCCTTAGTCCCATTTGTGGCTAGTGTGCTGATAAAAGCGTGGAAGGAATCGGATGACAGTTCAGATATGGAAGTAATTTTGGGTGGAATGGCCTCTCTGGAGAATGAGATATCATGGTTCAAAAGAGAAGCCTCCAAGTGGGATGTTCCTCTTTCTGACGTCGCTCCTCAGCAAGCTAATATTAACTACTGCAGGTGAAGTTTATTATCCACCGATCATCTTTCTCAATTTATATGCAATACGTTATCTACTTCTTCTTCGTGATTGGATAATAGCTAGTGGAGTTCATCGCCTTATTATGTGGAAATGTGTAATTTTGAAGACAAGTTGGGAAGTGTGAGTAGCATCTAGTCTAAGATTTACTACTTGTGGGGAGACGTTCTGGTATAGATTTAATGTGTTAGTATAAAGATCAAAAGAGATCCTGCTATTTAATCTCTTTTCATACGTACAAAAGCTATCCTGTCAGTGTGTAACTTGTGGAAGGAAGCGCTGCTTCATGACATTAGACTTTGTTAAAAAAAATGTGAGTTGTCCTTGAAAAGTTTCTTGTTCAAACTTGTTCTGTATTTGTAAATAAACCATGGCTGACATGTAAAGGCATGCTAACAAGTTTGTATATTGAGGTGGGTCTTGTAAAAGACCACATCTCTGCATTTGTTCATATTGCTTTGATCTCTATTTATTGTGGTAAATTGCATGCATTCTTTGCTCTGCCATGATAGGTTCCTGGAGAAATTGATGAGACCAGAAATGGAATACACAGAGGTTATAACAGCATTATGGACCATAGAAGCAGTGTATCAGGAGAGCTTTGCACACGTTCTTGAAGAAGGGTCTAAGGCACCACCAGAACTGAAGGAGACATGTGAGAGGTGGGGAAATGAGGGTTTTGGTCAGTATTGCCAATCTCTGCAAAAGATTGCCACTCGGCGCTTGCAAAGGGCTTCAGATGATCTGCTCAAAAGATCTGAACTTGCGTTGCTGACTGTTCTTGAGCTTGAAGTTGAGTTTTGGAATATGAGCCGTGTAAACGCCTAGAACTGTTGCACTTTCACAGAGACGACCCCTATGTTTTCAAATAATATAGTTACATCCTGATGCTTGGAACTAATGCCCTTATCGAATTAGTAACTACCCAAGCAAAAAGAGAAAAATGGGCCAAAATCATCTGTATATCCTGTTTTTCAAGAAGGTTAATTACGCCTGTTCATCAAAAATTGTCGTGCACAAATTAATCATTCATATATATAACAAGTTGGTTCACTTCACCGACACACACACACACGGATGTGTGTGTAAATGGTCAACTAGTAGATCTCCTGATGGTTAAAAGTTCTGACTTAGAGAATGAAGAGGGCTGTGGAGAAGATCTCTAACGCAAATAGCAAATTGTAAACTGCCGTCTGGGAAAGGACGCGTCTTTTAGTCACCAAGTGGATTTTCTGCCTCTCAATGCTGAATGCTGATCGATCACTGTGAGTTGGCATCTTGGCATCAATATCATAACCAAATGCCTTAGAATGGGTCCAATAACGTTCTACTATTTTTAATATATGTGGCCTGAGAGTGTTTTTGGTATTTAGATTTAAAATCTATATTAATATATTTAAATAAAAGGTATATGCAATTAATATGGAGGGATTCATTTTTTTGACACAAAATCCAAAGAGAAAAGTACTTCCGTAAGTTACTCTGCCTGCTACTTTATAAATAATTGGCTCTCCGTAACAGAACCAAGGAGAGGGCCACGTCGATCATATCGTCCCATTGACAACCTCGATAACCCTCTCGACAAAGGGACGTAAGACTTAGTCATATTTATCTTGGAATAATCGAAACTCGTCCTCAATCTATGATTTATATATGGTTTAATTCAAAAGGAAGAAAGATAAGAAAGTAATTATCATACTTGTCGTCCTAGCTGGATTTCCCATGTAGAACTCTTCAGACAGTTTTAGAACAGAGAAAGAGAGCCAAGAAATAATGGGAGATTGGTATCCATTCAGCGAGTTCGATTTCGAAGCTGTAGTTCAGGACAAATATAGTTCATCCAACAACGATTTCTGGACGGTGTCGTCAGATCCACTGGATCAGCATCATCATAATGAAGATAAAGGACTGAAAAACGTTAATATTTCTGAAGCAGAGGACTGGGGAGACTCGGGGAATTTCGGGTTCTTCCCCGATCATGACTATTCAACCCAAGAAGATTCCTTTTTATCCTTCACTAACCAACAGAAGGAGCAATTGTCGAATCTGGATTATGATTCGTTGGATAATCTCAGATTCGACATGGTCGTCTCTTCGCCGCTCGGTGACGCCCCCAAGTTTGATGATCAAATCCTAGCCATGGCTGATCTCTCCCGACCTAACAAGAATTACCAGGACCAGAATTTGTCTCTCCCTTTAGCTTCACTTGATCTTCTCAACAACTATGGTAATAGATTAAAGCGTTTATACCGCGAAATTGAGCCAGATGAGGATAATCAGCTTCAGCCTATTGATGATTTGAGAGAAAGGAAGAAGCTCTCAACAGAGGATGTGATGAGAATCGCCGGAGCAATGTTCATCCGATCATCGTATTCAGATCAATCAGAGGGTTTGGATTATTTAATTCCCCAACCTTATGATTGCTACTACTCTAGCCTTTCCGAAGAAGAAAAAGGGGACGTGAAGCTCGCTGAATCTCTTCTCGCTTCTGCCGAGAAAGTCGGGTTGGGTCAATTCGAACGAGCAGCCAAACTTCTTGACCACTGCGAATCACAGTCTTCCAAGACTGGGAACGCCGTGAAACGTGTCGTCTCATACTTTTGCGAGGCCCTCCGCGAAAGGATAAACAGAGAAACAGGAAGAGCTTGCGCTCCTCCATTTTCTCCGGTGGGAGAAATCCCTCGTCATTATCATAAATACAGAGAAAAGGAATTCACACTTTTCGATCCCGACAAGTCAATGCAGAATCCAGGCCCTACTATTATTGCATGCCACGTACAGCTTCCTTTCTGTCAGGTTGCAGTGTTCGCCGGAATCCAAGCCATCTTGGACAAACTAGGCGATTCAAAAAAGGTTCACATGATCGATCTCGGAATCAGAACAGGATTGCAATGGACCATTCTCATGCAAGCCCTTGCATTACGACGAGAATGCCCACTCGAGCTCTTAAAAATAACAGCAGTAGGAACAACAGAGAAAGATTCACTGAGGGAAACGGGTAAGAGATTAGCCAGTTTTGCAAAATCCATGAACATACCCTTTTCGTTTTATATAGTTACGGTATCCGACATGCATGAGCTTAAGGAAGAACTGTTCGAGCTAGACGGCGAGGAAACAATCGCAGTTTACGCCATGTTCGCACTGAGGCCCCTGATTGCAGAGGCAGATCAGTTAGAAGCGATGATGAAGGTGATAAGAAATTTGAACCCGATCGTGATGGTGGTGACCGAAGTGGAAGCAAACCACAACTCAAAGTCATTCGTGAAGCGGTTTACGGAAGCTCTGTTCTACTTCAGTGCATTTTTCGACTGTGTGGAGGAATCCATGGAAGGGGACGATCCGAACAGGACGGTTTTGGAGTCATTATATTTAAGTTATGGGATTAGGGATATTGTGGCGGCGGAGGGAGAGAAGAGGAAGATTAGGAACGTGAAGATTGAAGTGTGGAGGGCTTTCTTCGAGAGGTTTGGGATGGTGGAGGGAGAACTGAGTATGTCGTCGTTGTACCAGGCGGAGCTGGTGGCTAAGAGATTTGCCGGTGGGAGTTTCTGCACGTTTGACAAGAATGGAACTAGTTTGCTTTGTGGCTGGAAGGGTACTCCACTTTACTTTGTTTCTGTCTGGAAATTCCTTTGATCACAGCGTACGTGAATGAATTAAAATGCTTGTTTTGGTTCATTTGAACTATCATCTTGTGAAGGATCGATATATATATCAAGAATGTGTAAACTTTTGTTTTTGGTTCTTGTTGCAAAATATGCCTGCTTTACTTCCATCTTCATGTCAGTCTGATGCGCAGAGTTTAATCGTAAGACTCCAACCAAAACCCCATAATCTGTTATAAACATAAAAGCAATTAATTAGGATATCCATTGAGCTTATATGACAAAAGATGACTGATAGCATGGTGTAGGATCGTAGGGGTTGGTGAATGGACTTGCATGTACGTTATAAACAGGACTGTTCATTGATTAATTACTGATACACACAAGCAAACCTTTTACTCTCATCCGTTGTTGGTACTTGGTAATGAAAGTTAAGATCATAGCGATTACTGCAACGAAGGGGCCTGATCTTAATGCGGGCTTGGAGCATGAGGCAGTTATGTTAGCGGATCAAATGCTTATCGCAGGAGGAAATGTGTGCGTGCGTGCGTGTGTTTGTTTACAGCTGATTACCTGTAGCTTAGTTAACATAAGCTCTCGAGGTTGGCAGGTTGTACACTTGTACCTGTAGTCTCAATTGGTGTTTATTCCTCTAATTTTTTTTTTAAAGGGAAATATATGTCCACAGAATCGAGATGGATGAGCCCACATACATTGCCCACTAACATAACTTGCCCCATGAAGGTCAGGCCCATTCATTCATTACACCCCGAAAATAACTCTTTCACTCGCATCATATAGTTCCTATGTGGGGCAAACCTTTTGTTATGAATATAAATTCATTCATATTTGAGGCTGATTTTTGCCATTCATGATTCTAATTCCCTTCATCAGCAGTCTTGGAATTAAGTTGAACCGTTTAGATGCTTTTATAATCAAATTTCTTTCAGACTATTGTTTAATTACTTACGAATAGTTTTCTGAGATTTTGTCGACAAGTCTGATGAGGAATAATATATGAACATTAAATTGTGCTTCATTCCCTGGTCATTTACGACCTATGAAGAGAAAAAGGACACCAAAGTGGCTGTAGTTTAGTGGTAAGAATTCCACGTTGTGGCCGTGGAGACCTGGGCTCGAATCCCAGCAGCCACACTATTTTCCCCACATTTTTCCAAACAAATTTGACAGTTTCCCTTTTTGATATGACGACAGAATACGAGGGCGCCACCACGAATTACTGGAATTGCTACCCTCCCTCTACTACTGGTTGTGTAATTCTATCCGAATCGCAAAAACAGATATTGATATTCAAATCCACTAATTGCTTCCAAAGATGGGAACTTCAAGGTCTGAACATACATACATATAGCCGGGGGGAAATGATAAGCGGTTTAGCTAATCTGAACACCAATCCAATTGTAAATGAAAGCCAATGATCACTTTTGCATGGGTTCCACGTATTCAACTGTTGATGATATTGTCAGATCCTATGGTTCTGGTGTGACATTCGCACTTGAGATGACCATTCATAGAGAACCAGATACCACATTCTTACAAGAAAAAGCATCCAAGCCATGCCAAGAATCAATGTAAAATTCACGCTTCTCCTTCAAAAAGAAACATAATTAATTAATCCTCCTCATTCTTCTATAAAAAGAGAGCGCTTCTCAATTATTATATCACCTGTTAATATACCAAACAAAGCTGCGTTAAACACAAAAATCCAGTCACAAAATGGCAAGCAGTGCTCGTCCTGGTGGAGCTCCCTCTAACTCCGTGGGCACTGATCAGTATATGAGTGCGGCTCATCAAGTTCAACCCCAACCCTCTAATTATAGTAATCCAAACGGTTCTATTGCTGCACCAGATCGTTGTTATGACCTTTATCAGAATACTGGGACGCAGTATATTAGTGGGCTTACTACTCAGGTTGGAATAGTGAAGGGCCACGGTAATGGAGCCACCGTCTATGGCTCCTTCGTCGTTCGTTAGGCAACAACCCAGAAATATGCAGACCTGCGCAGGCACTCATGGATATATCTTCCTATATATGTATTCAAATAAGTGATTTGTATCGATGCAACCTTCACTGTAATTGTTTCTTAATTAAATAATTAAACTTAATGACCTTTTGTTTCTATGAATGCTTTGTTGAGTTTATGGAGTTCTTCAAACCGATCGTGTCTTGCTTGAGAACAGAGGGAACATTTGGTGGAAATAGAAGGAGGGGGAATATGAAGAAAGAGAGAGACTTTTGGTCATTTTCTTCTTTCAAAAGAAGGATTTCATAAATCATCTCTGACCAGAACAGGGCATATTTGTATACCAAATTTATAATTAAAATAAACTTTGAAGACGCCGTTACGCGAGTTAAATGTTGTTGAAACTTAAAACAACTCAGATCCTTTCTGCAGAATTCAGAACGTAGGTTCTCCTCTGCATCGCCAAAGCCATTCACAGTTCCAGCTCCATCTCGTCATATTCAAATCCTAAATCTTGTGAAACTCTGGTGTTGATTTTTTGTTTTCTTTTTTTAACTTCGAACCTGTTTAGTCCTCAGATGCATCGAAGGGCTCCCAGACCTCGTTCAATACTTTGTCAACTTGATTTCTATCAGTCGTTGGACACAACCTAGCTACGGTGTGAACTGTGAAATGTGAATTCTATTACAGCGTAAGGAACAATGATGCTACGTCATCTTCTATATCAGATTCCCAAGACTATTTGTCATACTTTCACTTTATCAAGCATCTTTACATCTTATCAGCATAAGAGAAAAGATTCTAAGACCAATAATATGAGCTTTTGCATAGATTCCTTGAACTTTTAACGTATTAAATCCCCACTTTTTGGAAAGTAGGATTTATATGAACTTTTGCAGAACCCCACTTGATCCGCACTTGATACCATTTTCATGGTCCTACTGGCAAAAACTTAATCATCACTTGTCTTCTTCCGCACAGACACCAAAAACCTGCAACTATAAAATCCGGCTTCCACTAATCACCCAAGACAGATAAGTCCAGAAGCGAAAACAATCTCAAGAATTGGGTGTTCTAGAACTACGATACATATAATACGCCAATGGCTTTTGCGGGATATCCAGGCATGAGTGGGGCCTACGGTGCTCAACCTCAGATGCAGCCTCAATTTCAACCTCAGTACAATCCAAATGGTTATGGTTTTCCTGGAGCAGGAATGCCTCCTGTTGCTGCCTCTGACCGGTACCACAATTCCGGCACCAAAACCATTCAAGGCGACACTGTTCAGACAGGAATCTTCAAGGGTCACGGTACCGGAGCTAAGATTCAGGGCGGCTTCACCGCTTCCGGTGACATTAAGTAAATTACCAAATATCGATCGCTTTGTAACGTACGCACGTGGAAGGGGAAGCTATATATCAACGCAGTTGAAGATGCGCGTCATAATTATTAAGCATATTATGCAGTAAATAATTTCTGCGGTGACAGGATATTTGGTTTATTATATTCTTGTGATTCTCAGTGAGATGTCAACACATTATATATGTGTTTATATGGTGAGAGAAACTAAGGAGTTGTAAAAGCAAGTTATAAACGTAGCTACAATGGAGAAAATGATACCTACGTTAATGATTATTATCAATTATTATCAATATATATATATATATATATATATATATATAACATAAAATTTATACATAGCTACTGCATATAGATGAATGATATTATCTCTACGGTTTTGCGTAACTCATTAAATTTTCAAATTGTTTCACGTATTTGAATAAGATTCAAATATTAAAGAAATGAGTATAATTTTTTTTTTAAAATAAAATTACTAATTACTCTTATAACGTGAAAAATATTTGACTTTTTTACATGGTGACAAAATAATAATTAAAAAAAAAGATATTGAAAATGAGTGGCCTTTTTTTTGGCCAATTATAATTCTTTTATGCCCCTATCCTAACTCTCCTCATAAAAGGGACTACTCATGCATCCAAACACAATACACACACTTACCTTCCCTTTAATGACATGGGGATTTGGTATAATTTGCACAAAATTTGAACTAGATGGCATTCTATATATGTTTTATTCCGCACTAATTTTATGTTATTTTATTATCATATATGAATTTAATTGGATGGGACCATGATCATATATTACATCCTATCCATGTCAAAATATGTAATTTTTTTTTTAAATCATACCTTTAAAATTTCGTTAAATATAAATTACTTGCATACTAGCTCCTTATTCATTAATAGCAATAACAAGTAATATTATATTATTTCAAATACTTTTTTACTGATTAATTATATTTTAATTAAATAACATCAAGCTAATCCACTGTATAGTTTATGCCATGGCTGTCTAGTGGCTACGTGCTTTTACTTTTACTCAAAGTTAAACTATATATGACCACAAATTCATAACCTTAAATGATAAATTACATCGATAGATCATTAAATAAACCAGAGAGAATTGGTTCGTTCATTCATGATCTGAAAAGAGTTGCTCAGCTTTGCGTAGATTCCATTAAACGTAAATATATAATTCTGAATTGATCCGAGGACCAAATTAATTAAAGAAAGCAAAAGATAAAATGGGAACCAAGCTGGCAAGAGTGGTAGAAGACTAGGTAAGTCTTCAAAGTGATACTAAACAAATCAATGTCTTTTTCTTTTTGGGAACCCAAAAAAACAAAGGAAAAAATTATTGTAAAGTCAGGATTAATAACAAATCGAGATGAACAGTGCAGGCTATCGCCAAGGTTAACCAAACTCGACCCATGCAAAATTGCTGCGTTTCTCTACTCCAAAAGTTGCCTAGCCTTTCATTTTATTGTAAAGTCATAAACAAATTTACCAAAAAGTGAGGTCTAATAATAATCCAACTGAAATAACAATCGTACATTATCACCCATCGTCCGTGGGTTCAACTGGCGAAGGGGTGAGACATATGACCAAGTTGGCATGTGTTCAATCCCTGAGGAGTACTACTTTGTTGTGGTTCCAGTCGCGGCGCTTGGGAAGGCATCCTAGCTCCTGGATGCTTAGATAAACGCCTAAGGGTAATTGACGACTTGCCCTGCCTAACATTGGTATGGCCTAGGAGGAAGGGAGATTTCGCCCTGCCCTTGGATCGTGGGTGAGCTCAACCCCTTTCCAAAAAATTCTTTACCAAAAAAAAAAAACAATCGTACATTATCTCCATAGCATATATTATTTCTTAATTTCTATTGATGGATTCAAAGAAACTGTGTCAGAAGCCCACTTGGAGAGCATGAGATGCCATAATAACTATATAACTAAACAAAAGATAAAGACGAATGTACATTTGAAATTTCTCCTAAAGTAGACGCTTCAACTTTCCATCACGTCCTCCCTTGCAGACATATATTCCCTGATCACTACACGACACGATCACTACATTGCTGCTCAATAATCCCTTAAGCATCGATGTGTAAGAGGGGTAGAAACCCCAGTTTAACATCAAGAAGTTGAAAACTTGGACCAGTTATATATCATCATCATCATCATCATCAAGAATGGCAGGTCTGAACGTTAATGGCTATGCAGGAGTTGGTGTAGGAGCTCAGGCGCCATATCCTACTCAGCCTCAATATCAGTATCAGTACTATCCATATGGCGGTTACCCTCCTCAGCCGCAGCAGCAACCACCATATCCTCCTGCATCTGCACCTGTCCCCACCCCGCCTGGGTCCCGCCACCAGAACTCCGGTACTGAATCCATCGGCGGCAAGACTGAGCAGAGCGGCACCTTCAAGGGCCACGGCACTGGAGCTTCCATCCAGGGCGGCTTTACCGCCTCCGGCTCCATCGCCTAGGCTCTTTCGTGCATGCCTATCCTATATCTAGCTGTTCTATCTCTACCCAATCCTGTGTACTCTATATATAATGAATAAGAGCTCAAAGTTGGCCACAAAAAACAAAACAAAACAAAAGAGCTCAAACTTGATTATTAATTACCTCTTCACGTCCATCATGAATCACGTATTGATGTTCATGTTCATTCTGATTCTAGTTTTGATTTGTTGCTACCGTAAACTCCATATGCACAACATTTCACGACGGTTTTTTTTCCCTTGGAATGAGATCGTTTTATGAATTTTAATTCTGCTTGGCGACTATATACATAATATACATTTCGGTAAATAACACAACAATTTTCAGCTATACATACATACATACATACTCCTCCGGTCCTTAATATAGGACCCAATTGTTGAGTTGGTTTTGGTCCTAAATATAAGACTCATTTATCATATTTATCAATTTTCTCTAAAGTACCCTTATGGATACTCCCTCAACCATAATCAAGTAGAAGAGGGAGATGAGATATTAAGAAAGATGATTATGGTATTTTAGGAAAAACATGTCACATTTTTTATAATTAATTAACTTACCTAACTTCCTTAATCTAATCAAATTAGTTAAATGGATCTTATATTAAGGACCGGAGGAGTACATACATACATACATACATACATATATATTTATATATATATGTTTATGAACCACAAGCATATGATGGCAGTGACGAACCAAAAGCATATGATGGCGTACTTCAATAGTTCCATATATACACACACGCATATCTACAGTGCATACGAGTGGAAGACACGGATGAAAAGAAAGAAAATAAGGTCCTTGATTACAGTTTAAGTATCCTGCCTGATCCTTATTATAAGTTTCAAATAACTAATTTATAAATAACAAAAAATTAACTAAAATTAGTTAAAAACAATAAATAGGTTAGAAATAAACTTTTAATTTGTTTTCAAATATGTCATTATAATAAATAAGAAAAGGGACAAAAGAGAATGTGTGAGGAAATATGATAAAAGAGAAATGATTAAGGACAACATTGGAAAAATACATTAAATGTTAAGAAAAATTCAAATTAAAACTTATAAAATAGACTACACTTCTTTTCAAATTTAAAGCTTGTAAATAAGACCGGAGGAGTGTATCACAGCATTCGGTGATTTGATAATTAGAATACAACTGGAGAGACACTATCGCGTATGTAAATGCCAGCCATGAGCGAGGCCAGCGAGCCTTTGTTTGGTGACAAGTCTTTTACTGGTTTTAATTTAACGAGCAATTTCCAGAGATTCTGATAGTAGTCATAGTATATTCTCTGGAGTTACTGCGTTCGGAAAGAAGACAGCCCTGTGATTATATAAGGCCTTTGATGTATAAGATTCCTAAATAAATTCGATTACTTTCACATTTTAATATGCTCTTTTCGTCATATTTATAAGATTAAAAAAAAAAAATTTTTAGACCTATTTATAAATCATTTTATTAAATTTTTAATATGAATGTACCATTTTATCATTTATTTATTATGATATAGATAATTATTTTCATGAAATATGTATATATTAAATATGGATAAGTTAAAAATTTATTATATTTTAATAGAAAATTAAAGTAATTTAAAATTTTTCTTAATTTATATAACATATAGAAGAAGTTCTTTATAAATAAGATAAGAAGAGTAATAAATTTTGCCCGTCTTCTCTAGTTGTAACTACTATACACGCTGCAGATTCGTTGGGGTGGTGGAGATCATGCCACGTGTCGAGGCAAGAGAGATAAGATGAATATCACAGATCAAGCACCGGCATAATCCTCACCATCAAAACAATCCAACGATAACAAAATGCTCGTACCAGGAACCCAGCTCTAACCTCAGGGGACCGGATTTTCCTAATCTCCTCCCCTAGCTGGATAGAACGCGATACCTTGCGGATATTATGGAATTTTCCTCACCGTCCATAATAATATTCGTATCACTTTAGATTTTTTTTCATCATACTGCAGGAATATCACCACCTTTAAATATTGCTTAATGACAAGCCGAGCTAGCTACAGAAAAAACCAGCAGCTTTTGATCCATTTTACTAAAACGATCCAATTTCAAATTCCAATGGCAGGTATTAATCTTGGTGGCTGTCAAACCATCCGTGGAAGCACGAGTCAACATGGTGAATACAAGGGCCATGGCATAGGGGCCCGTTCCCAGGGCTACCCCGGCGGCAGCAGCGGCCCTACTCCTCTTCCTGGTCCTGTTATTTCTGAATTGCCGGCAGCCCGGCGCCGGCACCGGTGCCAGCACCGGCAGTCACTCAGTCACCACAGCAGTTTAACCAGTATTATTACAATTATGGAACATCGATCATCGAAGGTAACACCAAGCAAGATGGTACCTTCAAGGGCCATGGCATCGGAGCTTCTGTTCAGGGAGGCTTCACTGCTTCTGGCGATATTAATTGAAGATCTGTGTCTTCTTAGTTTTGCTAATTAAGGCTCGGTCGAATTAAAAAAAAAAATGTAACGACATATTAAAATTAATTACATATTGCCTGTATTTAGTTTCAATTTCTTCATAATGCTAATGATCTCAAGTTAGCTCTTTTACCCATTTTGTGGTCATCAGATACATTGTAATATAATTATATTATAATTTTTCACAACGAATAAGATATTAAAATATGGCTTGCAATATAAATAAATGTTATATGGATGACATATTGTCAAATAATACAATTCTCCACGTACAGTGTTCATTTTTTCTGGCTCCATATATATATAGAAGCCTTTGATAATTAACTTATAACTTCCATATATTTAAGAGATCATAATGAATAAATTCACAAGTTAAAAAGAAATAAATCTAGATATTTGAAGCACAATTTAAATTAATACATAATGCATCTAAGGAGAGATATATGTAAAATTTTATTAAATATTCAGCGTGTATATATTAGGCTGGACATCTTTCTTTTGTTTTTTGGACGTCAAGGTTGCAAATGATTGGAAAAAAACCATTGCCGGCCAAAAAAAAATAGAAAAAACTGTTGTGATTCTCAGTGAAGAAAAATACCTGAATTATATATACAAATTCACATATAATTTTAATCATTATCAATTTAAAATCGTAAATTTCAGTATTTGTCTAATGGCATGATATTTCACTCTAATCGTAAATTGGTTTAAAATTCAATTTACTTAACTCAGTCTTCGGACCCAGCATAGTATTAAAAAAACATTTAAATAAACCAACCAATTAATTTACAAACCTCTCGCCGGATCATCTGTCTTGCAGCATTTTTTAAAAATGATTTTTATCCTACCAACCCAATACCTGTATGTATGTATGTATACATTATGGCACTTATGCATAAATGCAAGAATTCAGATCAGGGTTTTGGGGAAGTTGGGTAGACGTAGATTTGCCAAATTTAGGAAGAGAAGGAGAAATAACTCTCGCTCTTTTTATAATTTAATAGAATTCATTCAAATTTACCATCTTCAAATTCAAAGAACCCAAATGCGGCATGCAATAATTAACTCTTGTTTATTTTACTACTTTCGGTCCTAATTATAAGAGCTAGTTGACTAATTTGAGGAGATTAAGGAAATAAGTTAAGTTAGCTATTTGTAATAAATAGGTATTGTCTTTTCTAAAATATCCTTGCTAATCAAATATATTGGCTATAACTACCATTATGAGAAGGACTACCTTGGAAAAAAATATACAAATATGAGAGACAAAGTGGATAAGAATCTTATATTTAGGACCAAAATAAAAGTCAAACGAGGTCTTATATTAAGGACCGGAGGTAGTATTTTAATTAGTGAGACTTTGAAAAGATTAAAAATGAAAAACGAATCTAAAAACCAAAATAATCTCAAAAGAATAAAAATACGATTCCACTCCCATTGTCTAAAAGTCCCGATTATTCTTTTTATGTCAGCTCCAATTCACAGAGTCCTGATTCTAATTCCTTGCCCACGACATAGCTTTCATCCTCATCCATCAAAAGACACACACAGATTCTGATTCCTTGCCCATAAAATAATAATAATAATAAAATTACTAATATTAATATAATTATGGCCCTCACTTGCAATCGGCATTAGGTTCCTTGTCCATACCTTTAACCGTGTCACCAGTCTATAAAAGGGAAAGCTGCCGGTAATCCCAAAACAAACTGATCAAAACAAAGAAGAAAGCTTATTATTATATAATTGTAAGACTCGATCGTCACTACTCAATATGGCCGGCGTCGTCCACGGTATTGCAGGTCTTGCAGTTAGCGTTAGTGGTCAAGCTCAGCAGCCTGCCGCCGCCCCGCAGTACGGCGGTTACAATCCTCCTCAGCCACCGGCTCCGACTCATTACCACACTAATTCTGGAACTAACTCCATTCATGGTGATCTCAAGCAAGATGGTACCTTCAAGGGCCATGGCACTGGAGCTAAGATCCAGGGAGGTTTTAATGCCTCTGGTGACATTCAGTAATTCATGATCATCATCATATATACATCTGCGCACTGCTGAGTTGATCTGTCTAAATAATCAGTATTGAAATAAGAGCTTCACCTGTGCATCATATTTGACGTCATTTTATATATCTCTCTTGGTTTATTTCGTTTTGCCTTCTTGATTTAGTTTTTTTTTTAATCATCCCTCACCTATCATAGAAGAAACTTACATATTCATCATATTCACCAAAAAATCAAATTAGCAACACCACATTGGAAAAAAAGCTTAAAGAAGTGTTTAATATCACTGGTTTAGAAGGTCTTGAGGCGTTCTTGGTTTAATTTATTAATTGATTCACTAGCTTAAATATAAGGAGGAATAATGAGCTAAGAATTACCCGAATTACTTTGAAATCATATCGAAGTTTCTCTTCCACCAATTCAAAGTCATTTCTCATTTTAACAAATAAAACGCGGGCGTGATGCAAATTTTTGTTTTTTGAAAAACAAATTAACTTTGTGCTATACGAATGTTGAACACACGAGG